CAAATTAACATAAACATTATCATGGAAGCCAGAGAAACGCCACCTAAAAGGTGCTTGATATCTACATGCATCTGCTAGCGCAAAGTCTGTGGGTATATAAAAGAATGACCTTTACTATCACTGTTGAAAGTCACCCACATTTCACTGGGGAGTTCTGCTACGCGATACATGAATGGACTGAGTACAGGATCTTTAGCTCATTTCCAAATGACCAGGTTTTAGACCAAATGTGTTCCTCTTGGGCTGATTAGCTCAGCAAGTCACCAGCATGAACTTAACAAGACCCATCCCTGGTTCCATGCCTACCTGGGTGAGTTCACACCAGTGCTTTTCACCCTTCAATGCGCAAAAAAATCACCAAGGACATTGTTACAGGGCAGATGATGGCGCGGTAGGTCCAGGAGGCTGCGTACATCTTACAAGCTCCCTGGTAAGGCCGCCACTGCTGGTGAGCCAAGACTTTGGGTACGAAAGGTTTTCAGCATTCAGAAGACTTGTGCTCCTCGGCAGTGTTCCCCTTCGCCAGGGAGGAAGGAGTAAGACAGAAGGCACCTACTGTGTGCTGGCTACTGAGCCGGGCCCTCCCAGCATCACCTTCTTTACCCCCCACGGCCAACCCCGGGGGCCACAGGTCCCACCATCAGCACTAGGGGGTCGACAGTGGCACGGCCATCCAGGGAGAAGGGCGCGTGGCCCGAAGCAAGGTTTCTGCTGAAAAAAAGAGTGAATCTCTTTAGCAAGGACAGTGTGATTGCCCTCATCACTGATCTGAGAGGCACTTGTGAGTCTTTCCAGTTTTATTTAGCTGCCTCTTGCTGTGATTTCTGAGTCAAAACAGGAACAAGGTGCCTCATTTGACATATCATCCGGTGAGGTCAGGGATGTGGTTAGCTGTGATTAGAAATCCTAGCCTCGACATTCTCCCCTCGTCTCTGTGAAGGCATGTGGAGGATGAGGCACAGATACCCGGCAGAGTCTGAATGCTCTGCTGGCATGCCATGGTGGAAACTCAGCTATACGACCTCAGTGCCGCGTGGTCCTCTCCACAGCTCACGCAAAAGTCCCAGACCCTGTACAAAGAGCCCACAGAATACTAGCAGCCAATGGTGACTCCTCACGCTGGACTGGGCATGGATACAAATGCTCTGCACGCATCCATCTATTCAATCCTGACAATGTCACGACACCCTCACCCCCGCCCGCTTATTTCCATTTCATACACGAGAGGACGGAAGCACGGAGACATCGGGTAACTGGCCCAAGGTGGCAAAGTAGCAGGTCAGGCCTTCAGGGCAAGGAAAGCCATCTCGGGCTCTCACTCCTGACCAATTACACGACACTATTTCTCTCTTTCCCAAAACAGCAAAAGTCATCTTGCTCAGGGCTCTGCAAATGAAGGGTCTTTACTGCCCTTGGAAACCGTTGATGGAATGAATAAAACTGAGTGGTTCTAGGGCCGCCTGGGTGGCTCAGTCGTTAAGCGTCTGCCTTCGGCTCAGGTCATGGTCCCAGGGTCCTGGGATCGAGCCTCGCAAGGGGCTCCCTGCTCCGCGGGGAGTCTGCTCCTCCCTCTCCCACTCCCCACGCTTGTGTTCCCTCTCTCGCTGTGTCTCTAATAAATAAATAAAATCTTTAAAAAAAATAAAAATAAAAAAATAAGACTGAGTGGTTTTGTTTGATTCTTAAAGGTTCAGTGGGAGATCAATAACCGCAGAATGTCTTTGCAAAGTGGCTATGTCATCTGCAAGTAAACAGAGCAGCTGTTGGCTCCGGGGTCCCTCTTCCCACATGCTATGCTCTGTCTTACAGCCTGACAGGTCTCCTCCAACCAACAGTTGTCACTAGGCCATCAATAAGGACTAACACAAATACCCGCTCTTCTAGCTGGAATCTGAGGTCTGGGTGAGTCCAGGGGGCAGACCCTGACTCCTCGGAATTCTACACAACACCTTTTGGCAAGAGAGAGGATCCATTCTCTCTGAATGTCAGCTACCACGAATAATAACACAGAAAATAAAGATGTGCATTTAAAAAGAAAATCTTGTGGCTCATCTTTTTCCCTTAACTTTTTTTTTAAATTACTTATTTTAGAGAGATATTGAGATTGTGGGAGGTAGGGGCAGAGGGGGAAGGAAGAGAGAGAATCTCAAGCAGACACCCCCACTGAGCACGGAGCCCAATGCGGGGCTCCATCCCACAACCCTGAGATCATGACCTGAGCCAAAATCAAGAGTCGGACGCTTAACGGACTGAGCCACCCAGGCGCCCTTTCCCTCAAATTTTTAAGAAAAGTGGAAGACGTAAGTAATTATCTTTTGCTGTATTTGCAGATCAGAAATCTGGCAACAAGAACAGAGTACTATACTAATAAAAATACAGCGTAAAACACTTTAGAGCGTTTGTATTTGACATCTTATTTGACTCGGAGTGGAGAAATAAAAATTGTTTCAAGAGATTTCATTCCTCAGGGTAAGGGACAGATGGTGGCAATGAGAGGGGAAGTGGGTCCCCAAATGGGGTGTTTTAGGTGGGGGAATTATCCCACTGTGGGGACGGAAGATGTCTAAAAAGCAAACATTGGAGCATTTTAGGAGACTCTGAAGTCAGCCAGCAACCGACGCATCAGCTGCGCCGGATTTCCTGAGCTGTACAATGAGAAACTGCCTTTATGCTGATTATCCCGCCTCACAGGGAAACAAATAGTCTGATAATGAATAAGAGGGAAAATATAGACATGGGCCCATGATTATCACCTGAGCTGAAATACACTAAAAACTGAAGTCATGCATATCTTAAGAGCTTATAGTAATATATATATCTATATATCTATCTCCAGCTTACAGGCCATTTATTAACTTTTGTCCCTTTAGACAAAATAAACTCTTCCGTTGTGGATAAGCCAGTACGCAAAAGGAGAGAGAAGTTTCATGGATGGTAATAAACTTGTTTGGATATTCTGCTATTAGAGATTAATTCCTTTGGCTTAAACTGGGAGTTCTTTGAAAAGGTGAACTACTTGGGGAAAGTTAACAGGTTAAGTCAGGATATCACGTGTTACCATGCTTTAGCGTGATTTAATATAGTGACACCTTCCCTCCTAACTCGAATTACATAAGAAAAATGCAAGAAATGGAGTATATGGGATGAGAAAATAGGAGGGAGGAATGACTTTAGAAAGTGTTGCGCTGACAAGATGAACATGTCTGACTTTGGACCCTGAGAAGTTAGCATTGGTAAGGGGTTGGACAAGAAGAGCAGGGAAATGGCAGTAGGTGAAGGACACAGAGAGAGAAAAAGAAGGGTCAGCAGTGGGGGCAGGCACCAAACACAAAGCATGAGACATCATTTTCCATAGTTGGGATATACATAGTAGCAGGGATAGTGTGTTAAGCCCAGAACTTATGTTCTAAACAAATCTTTTATTGAATCAGACCTATTTTGGGGCTAAAATAATCTTTCCCCACTCTGAATTTACATTCCTAAAACCAAGAGAATATTATTTTCACTATCTGACTGGCAAAATTAAAAGGCTTATGATCTCCAGTGTTAAAGAAGGGACATGGGAATCTGTATACTCAGGTATCTTTGTGGGGAGGAGAATAGTTTAGTAGTGGTTATCCAGATTTAAAATGTGTATAACTTCTGATCCAAAATTTCATTTCTAGAAATGAAATTCAAGTCTTATTTTGCAGAAATATTAGCACAAATGTACAAGACACTTTTACAAAGATATTCAATGTAGGAAAAATGGAGACACCTTAATAATCTACCAACAGGGGAATGGTTAAATCGGCCAGAGAAGATAATCCATATTATGGGATTTCTAGACAATAATTAAGAGGCATGTGGTATATCCATATGTATTGTCTTATTTAAAAGGAAGAGTAAAAGTGGTTGGGTGAAAAAAATATTATCAAATAATATTTACTGTATGATCAACTATTTGCACTGAGAGGTGGATGGATGGATGGATGGATGGATGGATGGATGGATGGACGGACAGGTGGACGGATAGATGGATGGGCAGATGGCTGGAGAGATGGATGGATGGATGGATGTATACATGGATTGAAGAAGGGAAGAAGGGAAAAAGGGAGGAAGTAGGGAAAGAGAGGAGGTAAGGAGGGATAATATAAATGAGTGATAGAGAAAAATATACATCCAACAAACTATGCACACTGACTGTCTGCTGAGTCAGGAGTGAGGGGATGAATCTCATGTACTTCCATTTAAAAATATTTACATGTTGGACTGTTTGAATTTTTGGTAAGGAACATACACTATTCTGTAGTTGAAAATCACTGAATAATGTCTTAAACTAAAGGAGTAGTGTGTGCCCTCCTTTCAAGCTGAGCGAGTCCTGAACTTCAAAGATGGAGGCTAGCATCTAACCTCGCCTTTCGCTGCCTCCATGGGTAAACTGTGGCTCATTACTTGCCCTCTGCATTTCAGTTCTTCTCTCAGATGGGAGCATTAACAAGTACTCTTCAGACAAATCCTAAGAACATGTACACAAAACCACCTGAGTCCATTCCAAATAAGTCTCCCTCCAGTATCCAACAGCCTCCTCCAATCTCCAGACCGGCATTTCTCAAATTTGAGCAGCATCAGAATCCCCAGGAGGGTTTGCTCAAACACAGACTGTGGGGCCCGCACCCAGAGTTTCTGCTTCCACAGGCTGGGGCGGGGCCCCAGATTCCGCGTTGCTGGAAATTTCTCAGGTGATGCTGCTGCTGCCACTCCAGGGACTGTGTGAAGAACCACTGCTGTTGGTTGAAGGCAAATAATAACGTGGGTCCTACAAGCCACATTGGCTATGGGCCAGAATGAACCCTGTCACTCTTGAAGCACCTCGTCCTGCCTGGTGACTGGGTTCCTAATCCACAGAGTGTAAGCTCCCTCTCCAGTCCCAGGAGATGGAGTCTGAGACCTCGGACCAGGGACACAGAGATGGACACAGAGGAAGCTGGGCTCCTGACCCTCGAGGGAAGAAAACTCACCTTCGGAGAAGATGATATAGTCATTGCACTCGTCGGAGCTACAGGAACACATAAAGAAAGTCTCGCCCAACACCTTTTTTTCCTTCATAATACACTTTGGAGAAGCAGCATCTTCGAGAACGATTCCATGGTAGGTGTCCTTGGGGTCATGGCAAAGCGTCTCTAGTGTTATGTTCTCATCATTCTTTCTCCTAGGGTGCAGAAGTTCATGGCAGGGGAGAGAAGAGAAAAGAGGATGGATGAATACGGCCCCCTGGACAGAAAAGCAATCTGGACCGTATTTCCTTCCCAAAGCTTTTTGAACAATGGCAGCTGGTTCCTGTTCTCCCATGTTAACAGGTTGTCCTCTAGTCTCCTGTGCTTTTTCTACTCATTTCGCTTTTTCCATTGCATATTCTCAAAACCCCTTTATGAGTGTAAACATGAAGGTTTTCCCTGGGGGCTGTCCAGCTGGAGAACCTTACGCATTAAGTCTTAATTAAACCAGGAGACAGGAAGGCACGGTAAACCGAAGACTGCGAGGTCCTCAGGGTTAAACCTTCCATCCTGAACGCCCTGCCAGGCTCACACTGCATCCCCGGTTTATCTCACAGGAACAGGGTCACGTCTAGCTCAACTGTGCTCCAAGAGCATTCCTGGGAATGCCGTGGCCGTTCCTCAAGTCTGTTTGCTGGGCCCCAGAGGGCTCCGTGTGAGGGCGTATCCATGTCGGCAGCTGGCTGTGTGGAAGGCACGGAACACACTTCCTAGATGAAGCATTGGCAGTTTCCCTGCCTCACAGAAAGGAACGGAAGGGGAAAAAATGAAAACACATGGGAAAGAACTACAAGGTGTTCTTCATTTATAGTTCAGTGAAATATTTTACACTTTCATGAACCAATTACATCTACATGTAGCATCCCTTCACTTCACGTGTCTGCTAAGGGCTCCGAGAAGCTCTCCTGTGGCATTTTACTGAGGCCCTAGAAAGTGCCCAGTGGGCTCTATGTGTATAGTACATTTATTTTTTTTATTTTTTTATTTTTTTAAAGATTTTATTTATTTATTTGATAGAGACAGAGACAGCGAGAGAGGGAACACAAGCTGGGGGAGAGGGAGAAGCAGGCTTCCCGCTGAGCAGGGAGCCCAATGTGGGACTCGATCTCAGGACCCTGGGATCATGACCCGAGCTGAAGGCAGACGCTTAACGACTGAGCCACCCAGGCGCCCGTGTATAGTACATTTAAAAATGACATGATTAATGCCCACTATTATAACTGCAAAAGCCAAAATAAAACTCTGGCATCCTTGGAAAAGTGTATCATTCTCTGCCTCTTTCAATCTGCTTCTCTCATAAACGTGCCACCTTGGATGGTTCTGTCCCAACACCAAGGTTGGGCTGACCTCTTTCTTCCCATCTCTGACCATTTCAGATGCAAAATACCTGTTGTCTTGAATGGTCCTCTCTCCATCTGGAGGGGGGTCTAGGGATGGGCTAATCTGGCTAAACTGAATGGTGGTCAGTTTTGCGAACATAATCTTCCCTGGGAAGGATTCTGAGTGTCGGCGGTTGAGGGTCCACATGTGCCTGCATGCCTGCTCACACTCACCAGCCGCTCCCCCCCGCCCCACAAGCTGTTTGCAGCAAACAGAATGGCAAGCAGGTTGGAGGCAAGAAGCAGCGAAAATACAGCCTTCACCTGGAAAACAGGCAGGGCCATATCCACGGGAAAGAGTAATTTTGATGGCGCCACCATTAGGGACACAAAAGGATGATATGTCAACAAGGGGTTAAGAAGAGCAGAAATGAAGGCACAGATGGAACAGTCCAACCAGGAATGGAGTCAATGTGGCTGACTTCCATGCAACCCAGAGCTGACTCCAGGAGAGCCATCCATGCTCTTGTGAAGGAGTTCAAGGGTTCTGGTTCTGGAACTAACACTCAAGTGGGCACAAAAGGAGCAAGCCCTTGCTAAGTAGGTCTCTACTGGTAAAGGAAGCACCACAGTTGGAATTCTTATTCTAGCGTGGCTAGCAGGGAAGGCATGATCACACAACAAACTATGTATGTTTAAAAATCCATTTATCCCTAGGGCGCCTGGGTGGCTCAGTCGTTAAGCGTCTGCCTTCGGCTCAGGTCATGATCCCAGGGTCCTGGGATCGAGCCCTGCATCGGGCTCCCTGCTCCGCGGGAAGCCTGCTTCTCCCACTCCCCCTGCTTGTGTTCCCTCTCTCGCTGTGTCTCTCTCTGTCAAATAAATAAATAAAATCTTTAAAAAAAAAAATAAATAAATAAATAAAAATCCATTTATCCTTAACCCCAAAGCTCCTGGGAAGTCTTGGCAAAAATGGCAGCCATGAAACAAGAGCACCTTCCTCTCTGTCCCCACAGTAGTGGGGTGTGTGTGTGTGTGTGTGTGTGTGTGTGTTATTTTCTGGTCTGGGTAACAAAATCAAGGCACGCTGAGTCTTTGGTGCCCCCAGGTAAAAGCATGATGTCTCTTCCTTGGGAAGCTTCTAGAAGCCAAGGAATGGAATGAAGAAGGAACTGTGAGTCCTGATGTAAAGCTGCTCTATAACTACTGGGCAGCTCTTCCAGAGCCTCTTGCTTTCCACCCCCTTGCAGCTTAGAGGACTAAAATTGCAGAGAGGAAATTCAGTTAGAATACTTGAGCCTGGCGCAAGTCCTTAACTTCTTCCCCCACTCACTCCTATAATAGTGTTCCCTGGCAGGCAGAACTGACTTTGCAAAATATCTTTGGATACAGTTGAGCATAAGAAGGGAAAATATAATGAACCAAATACAGACTTTTTCTTTGTCCTGAAACATTTGCCCTGAGCCATTGAAGAGGTTTGTCACTATCCACTCACAAAAGAACCACGACAATAAAATTAATTTTGGTTCCACAAGATTTTTATCCTTGGAGAGAACTTACACATTTGACATGGTATGGGTGCGTAACTGCCATCAGTTAAATGAACAAACAAACCAGCAAATGAATGAAAAGAACACTAAGACTCATAAAGGCACTGCAATGTATTACCAGGGTAGAGCCTTTCAGTTTCCACATCTGGCCGTTGGTTTGCGTTCCCTGGAAACAGACCTTAAGGCTGTGAGATTTCTGTGCAGAGAGTTTTCGGAAAGCCACCTGTAAGGGAAGCAGCACCCCGCACACAGTGGGGGTGGAGCCACGATGCAGATCACAGCAACCGACTCACTGATCCCTTAGAAGCCGTGAAGCTAAGATGGCCAGTCAGAGCCACCCTGAAGGAGGCCAAGTGGCCAGGCATTTTGGACGCTGGCATCAACCAGTCATGGGATGCTGACTGCCTATGGAGAGGAGCAAACTTATGAGGGGCCAAATGAGGGAAGAAGCTCCAGTGAGTGGGGGTGGGGGTGGTGGGTAGTCCCCTGGAGGGACTCGGGGTGATCCCTCAGCAGCTACTGCTGCCAGTTGCTGAGGGGGGGAGTGCCTCAGTGCTGAGGGGGATCAGCGAGGTGTACCACAGCACCTCTCACTTCCCTTTCTCCTTCCTGACATTCCACTCCACAGGAGTATTTGTCTTGCCGAGACAGGTACAAACAACATTCACTGCATTAACTCTTTACGGTGGGAACAGCGAGGAGACAGGGAGGTTTCCTCTCCCCTACATGCTCACATTTCCTGAGACAGCGAGTAACATAATGCTTCATTACAGAGACTGTAATCCTAGAGAGACTTGATTCACATTCAATAGTTGAGGTTTGTAAGGTGGGTCAAGAAAAAATGACTTTATTAGATGAGCCTGTTTGGGGTAGCAGAAGTAAGCTCTCCTGCCACAGTGCAGATTCAAGTGAAGATGATCAGCAGAGAACAGAAGCAAAGAAGAAGAGCTGAGGTCACCCAGTCTGGTGTCTCAATCTTTTCTGCATTAGACTTGATGGGTGGTCCCCCAGCACCTCCTGAATTTTGACTCCTCAGAGGAGGAAGCCTGTTTTGTTGTTGGGAAACCACGATTGTGAAAATGTTTAAATTTATACTGAAGTTTGTCCCCTGGTAAATTTTATGGATCCTCTTTCTGCCCTTCAGAATTACACAGAACAAGTTTCTTATATTTTCTACTTGAGAGCCCGTCCAGTATCTCTTAACAGAACTCATCCATGTCTTCTCTCTACTGGACTTGCTGTGTCTGATTCCGTCAGCCATTCCTCACATCGCCAACTTCCTAAGCCTGCAATCATACTGGGCCCTTTGCCTCTGGACACGATCTTTGTCAAAATCCCTTTTGCAAAAGCATTGCTCAGAACCGGACCTGAATGAAGTTGGCAGGTACAACAAGGTAACATGACAGCTCTTTGCTGTTAACATTCTTTTCGTGCTTGCCAAACTAGTTCATCTGCAGTATGTATGGAAATTTGCAAGCTTTACAGATCTATCATCAAGTCTAACTATATGTGGTCAAAAGACTTATTCCCCCAACGAGGAGGCAGGGGATATTTGGGTTTATATTCTCATTTGCCAACTGGCCAGGAGACACATAGTTGACTTAAAAAAAATTGGCTGATAAATTCAAAACATCAGAATAAGTCTATAAATGTTATATTTCATTAACAAATTTATACACTTTTATAAAAGGGGGGCTCTTTTAATCTCTATTTTCCTTTTATCTCTTGCTCATACTCCCAATCTGTAATTATGAAGGCATCAAAGGATTTGTGAGCACCGTGTGTGTGTGTGTGTGTGTGTGTGTGTGTGTGTGTTAACGTGGGGGGAAGGGGGGAATGAGAGGGAGAGGGACAGGGAGGGAGGGAGAGAGAGAGAATATGAAGGGAATACGGAAGAAGGGAGGGGGAGAGAGGGAATGTGATCTAAGAGAAATACGCAGTGTTGATCCAAGAAGATGTTGCATGTAGCCGGTGGTGCTGTGAGTGACCTGGCCAGGGCTTCTGAGTACAGAATGGGTTGTTCTTCTGGTTCTCCAAAAAGCTTCCTTTTTTTTTTTTTTTTTTGACAAAAGCTTTCTTCTTCCAACAGGCCGCCTTTCATCTCCTCTCCTTCCACAGAACAAGACGGAGATGGCCTCAGAAGAACAAAGCTCCCGGTGTCCCTCTGCGGTACCAAGCAGGTGTCAATTAAAATGACAAGTGGCAAATGTCTCTCCTTCATACAGAGAAGAGGCCCGGATTTATTGTAAACATTAACGGTCATCTTATATCCCGTCGCACGCACATTAATATAGATACACATGGGTGTGTATGTGTCTGAGGAAGGACAGAATCTCTCTGGAAATTACATGTAATCATTTGAAAGAGAGATGGCCTGAAAGAAAGGGACGTGTGAGGGGCATGGAGAGAGCCCTGACTCCATGTACCCCGGTGTGCATCACTTACAAAAGGAGGGCAAAACGGACATTTTTCAAAGGCCACCTTACCAGACAGCCAGACAGACTTCATGTGGTTTCTCACAGATGGATGTAATGCTGCAGTTGCTCATGCAGGATTTCTGGTTGTCACAGGTGGAAGATCTCACATCGCAAAATTTACACAATTGCGGAAATTTGATGACACCATTGTTGTCAGTGACCATCATGTCATTATTAACTGGGGAGAGGAAAGAAAGACACATTAAATGAGTATCTCACTGCTAGGCAGCCTGCCAGTGAATTCCTGATGGTGTTATGCAATTTCAAATGAACCAAAGTAATGCCTTCACATCAGATTAGAATTTCCTTCACGTAGGCAATTTGTAATGAAAACCACTGCAGGGGGGTATGGCGGGGGGCGGAGGGTTTGAGTAACTTCTTGCTTTTGTCCTTGATTACCATAAGGCACTCTTTCTCCAAACACAATCGTTCAATCAAGAAACATAGATCTGATTGGTCCACTGCACAGTGCTGGGTGCTAGGAGCACAGAGAATGCTAACTTAAGGAAATTATCCTTTAGTTGAGTAGATAGACAAGGAAACAAATGAGGATAGGGTAACCCAAAACAGAAGGACAGAGGATACGGGATCCTGACAAGAGTCACCACCCAGATGGGGAGAGACAGGTCACAATGGAGCAGAGCTGTGCAGTGCACCGAAAGGGTGCTGGCCAACTCAGAGGAGACACTGTAGGTGAGGCAGGACACTGCCCTCGTTCTCCTGACCTGCATAGGAAGAGCTCTAAGGGCCTTCTTTGCAAGAGACTGGTTCTAGAGGTGCCTAGATGGCTGTCAGTTAAGCGTCTGCCTTCGGCTCAGGTCATGGTCTCAGGGTCCTGGGATCAAGTCCTGCATCGGGCTCTCTGCTCAGCAGCGAGTCGGCCTCTCCCTCTCCCTCTGTGCTCTGTCTCTCAAATAAACAAATAAAATCTTAAAAAAAAAAAGACTGGTTCTAATTGCTTTGACGGAAATCAGGTGATTAACCAACACTGACTGTCTCTGAGACAGAATCCCAAACACTGGCGAGGCTCAGAGCACTGGAGTCCTGCAGGTGTGGAAAAGCTGAGTTCCACACCTTGAGAGTCTGCTCCCCGCCGCCTCTCTGACTTCATCCCCCACCACCAACCCATATTTACTCCGTGTTCATTACCTTTTAGGACACATGGGCCTCCCTGGAAGAAGCCAAGTTCCTTCCTCCTCAGAGCCTATCACTTGCAATTCCCTTTGTCCCCTTTCTGGTTGCCAATTAATGTCACCTCTTCATCCTAAAGCAGCCCACAAGTAACTGGCACAGGATTCTGTTTTATCTCCTGCACAACTATCTCACTCACTTACTTGTTTATAATCTATCCACCCGAATGCAAGCTCCTGGAGCTTTTGTCTGCCTTGTTTACATACTGGGTCTCCAGTGTCAAGAAGAGGACCTGCTCCATAGAAGGTATCCGAAATTTGTTGAAGGAGTGAGTGAATAGTGAATACACAAGGACTGAATATAAGAAGTTCACATTTGGCTCTTTATACCAAGTGGGAAACGATATAGAACTTCTTCACTCAGATGGGGAGGGTGGTGATTATAAATGCAATATTCATTCACAGTCATCTATAGCATATTATAAGGCAGACCGTTCTTAGCAAAACACATGCTACATGTTGAGAGACCATTAAAAAAGGTGTAACACCGCCTGCCCCATCTTCTTCCTCCAAGAGATCCATTTCTATTGGAAAAAGTGGAAATTAAAGGGTTGAGTTTAGGGATGCCTGGGTGGCTCAGCTGTTAAGCATCTGCCTTCAGCTCAGGTCATGATCCCAGGGTCCTGGGATGGAGCCCCACATCGGGCTCCCTGCTCAGTGGGGAGCCTACTTCTCCCTCTGCCTGCCGTTCCCCCTGCTCGTGCTCAGTCTCTCTCTCTGCCTCTCACAAATAAATAAAATCTTTAAAAAAATAAGTAAATAAAGGGTTGAGTTTAGAGAGTCAAGTGAAGTAAGACAAGGTTACGAGGCATTTGGTCAACAAACATGAACTTAGAGACACTTTCAGGCTAGACTAAGAAAGATTACGTGCCTAGACCACCTATAGCACTGGACCAGCCACTGGCTATTGGGAGGTGTGCTTCTCCCAGGGCTCTCCCTTAGAAGGGCCTGAGGCTCCTCATCTCCTCCCTGTGTCAAGTATGCTCCTGCCTAAAGCCAGACAGACAACTTCAACGCCCTCCCACGGTCTCTCTCTGTCCCGTGAATTTTTGATTTCTGTCATCCACACTTTGCCACGAAACCCTCGTCGCTTGGGCATGGCACCTGTTTCCTGGGTCTCTAAAAATACAAACATATATAAATTTAAGATTTGCTTTCTTGTGGTAACATTAAATATAGAAGAAAAAAAAAACCATTCATCCCTCTCAGGCCTCAAGTTCATTTCAGGAAGTGTATTTTTAGGCAACAAACTATTTTGAAATTTGTCTCCCAGACCAAGAGCTTTATGCTAAGCTAAAAATACAGGCCAAAATGCTTTCTGAACTTTGTGTTCAATTTGGGAGTAAGATGACAATGAATATATATATTTTTTTCTACAATAGTTAGAGTTGGATCTATTTGTGAAGCAACTAATTTAACCCCTTAGATTTCCCTAAAAGCATGGGTAAAACAATAAAAATCTGGGTCATGTTCCATTTATGTGAATTTTTTTTATAGAGAGTATGTTTCATACAAACAAACACGTATTTGCAGGTTAGGACGCTTTGTTGTTTTTAAATATAAAATCAAGCCTCCATGAAATGGAATTCAGCCTTCTCGCATTTGAGGATTTTAGCCTGTATTAGTAGTTACCAACTTTGAGGGCATGTTAGAATCAATCACCTAGAGAGGTTTAAAAAAAATAATGAGCCTGAGTCCCACTTCCAGATACACTGATTTAATTATTCTGGAAGGTGGCCTGAGCATCGAGATTTTTCGAAGCTGCCCAGATATTCTAACGTGCACCCAAGGCAGAGAACCCTGACCTGGAATGAGTTGAAAACAACCTGATTAGCAGAAAACAAAAAAGCACCCCCCGCCACACACACACATCTCCTGTGACAATGAAGGACCAGCCCTTCAATAAATCTGGAAGGAGATTCCTTGTAAAAACCAGGACCCGAAAGCTATGTGATGAAGCCTTTTACACCTCAGATGGAAAGGAGTCCTTTGCTGGGCTGGCCAATGCCTTTCTAACACAAGCTAAGAAGGGTGAGAAAAGCTAGAGGAGTCAGGAGTGAAAGGAGAGACGTGCCAACAGTGAGTCCACTGTTGGAAGCCACAGGGGCGGCCACAGACGTGTTGACAAGTATAAGTGGTTTAGATCTAATGCCTACAAAACACAATCAACAGTGAAGACACAAAAGAGGGCCATTGAAAAGAAAAAAAAAACAATAAAGAAGGGCCACCAAGCTGCCCAGCTCTGGGGTGTCACTCAGACCACAGTCTGCGATTGAGGTCCCTGGAGACCTGCAGGTGTATGAGGTCCACTGCCTACAGCAAGGCCCAGAAAGAGCAGACCTTTGCAATGACCTCTGGGAAAAAGGCCTCCACACTTGGAGGCTCAGGCCCATGGGGGGAGGGGACGGCTTACAATGGGAATGCACACACACCTAAGCACCTACTGTGTGCCAGCTAAAGTGCGTACGTTACCACATATCACGTCATAAGTACCCAGTAAGGAGGCCTCCTTTTTCTCTTTATTATTGTAAAAGCGAACACTGCGAAGGTGAACAGACTTTTTAGCTTGATCAGCCGCTGTTTCTTTTCTGTTTTTTTTTTTTTTTTTTTTTTTTTGCAAAATTTGAAAGCCTTTACCTAGGGCATATTCACTATAATCCCCCTCCCTCCCTTCCCTAGCCAGCCACTCCCTTAGCTAATTGGCCTCAGGAGGCTCCCCACCTTGACAACTCCAGCCAGTCAATAGTGGTCAGCCTCCTCTTTAAGCCAGCATTCTCCCTTGTGAGTATGTCTGTTGGTGGGATAGGGTGAAGTGTAAAGGGCAAAGCTGCCCTCAAGCTTTGTTGGAGGTCACCTAATTTGGATAAAAATCTCTGGAGTCATGCTGGGGAGAAGGGGCCGAGAGACAGATGTACAAAGTTGTGCTCATCATTGCAGAAGGCTGACTTACAGACTCCCTGAAGACCTGTAAACCCCTATTGAAGAATCCAAGGACTAGTCCAGTATCCTCCAGGGTCACGGAAAACACCCTAAGTAGTTCACCGCTAATCAGAGTGGGGTGCAGGGCTCCTGGGGGCAGGAAGGGTGGTGATGGCTATTCACTGTAGGCTCGGATTACATCTGTGCATTCCAGTCATTGGGAAAAGAAGTTACCATTGTGACCACGGGTATCAAACACTTTATGTTCAATAATGTTCATGAAGCCTAAGTCATGATGAATAAATGGATATATGTGAACTGCCAGGGACAAAGTTATTACCTTAAACAGCACAACAAAAGCCATCTAATTAACCCCAGAATAAACCCTAACCAACTTCAAAATGACTTCCAATCCAGGTTAAATTACTCTCCTGTGTCTTTAATTAATATATTTTCATATTAAGGTAGTGTATTTTAGTGTCTCTAGGCCCTCTGTGTGCAGCTGACAATCCTCCGGGAATTTTCTACCCATAATAGGCAAATTAACTATTCATAATGTCCCCCAGAAAGAGGTTCCAATAAGAGTGTCTCTCACCTAGAAAGTCATTCACCAAAGGAAGTGAGCATGGGCAGCTTCTTTCAGCATATGATGGGATCACATGGCACATCATATTTCACTTCTCTTCAAACAAACCCATGAGTAATATCAAACCCTTCAGTCTAGGTCATGCTGCCTTCCTCATTTTAGGGCACATTTTCCCCAAACTCACTGCCTGAAGACACAAGTTCCAGGGTTTGAGAACATGAATTAAGTCGATGCTTAGCTGTGTCTATTTCTGGAAAAGTACTGTTGTCTTTGAAGTTCAGCGATGAGCAGCCTAAGAAGGCTTAGGTTTACTCCAGATAAATACAGGGAATTTTGGATATAAATTCTTAGTCCATATCTTTGGAACAGTGTCAACTGAGCTAGTAGGTAAAAATCTCAAGACTCTACAAATAATCTTAAACACTTTGCCAGGAAGGCATTCACGTACCTTTGAATTCATGCATCTATCTACTATTGTTTAGG